TGATAGATTTAGCATAGGCAGAGTGGCATTGCCGCTCTTACAAATGCAATTTCATTTGCTGCTGCTGATTCATATTACTATATAATACACATTCACATGATTGAACACATATCACAGCTCAATGACTTTAGACTCTGAATGCCACAAACAGAGAAAATTCATAATTTACAACTCAACTAATTTATATCAATCTAATATATGTATATTAGATTACGAAAAGGGAATATAATATATATAAATATATATATAAATAAATAATAATATATAAATATATAAATCTACGTGTATATATGTACATATGTAAAAAATAGGAATAAATTTCTAGCAGAAGTTGTATTATATATATGTATATGTCTATATATGTATGTACTACATATATATATACATATATATCTAAATGTTATATAGCATAAGCCATTAAACTTAATGCTGCCAATCAAGCAACTCATTTGGCTTCGCACAAAGCTAACACAAACTCTGCTTATCTACTTTGGAAGCCACACAAAATGCGTTTTGCCTGTTTGCATTTGTCACTGTGTGTGACTCCTTAATGCCCATATATATACCCTATATATATATATAAAGGTCTTCTCTTGCTAGCTCTCTAGCTGAATTAACATTAGCCATAAAAATGCTTTAACAATTTAAAGGCAATTTAAATGCAGCTGCCAGCAGATGCGAACGAAGAAATAAATTTCTATTTTAGTTTGCCTGCATGACAGACCACGCACACACACACACACACACTCGAACTGACAGGCAGCGGATGTGTGTGTGTATGCACAACAAACCGCAGGCGGCGCCGTGCAGCTATCAATTTCAATTTAAATATTGTGTTGCCTACTTTTCCGCTGGCCTGAAGTGAGCCTGGCTCGTGGCTAAATCGCAGTTGGCTGCGTGTGTGTGTACGTGTGTGTGTGTGCGTGTGTGCCTGCTGATATTTACCTGTTGTTGTTTTGCGATAAAATCGCAATCTAATTGATAGACGGGCAGCCAGCCCCATATCAGGTGTTGATTGCATGGCCTAGCTAGCTGCCTCTCTCTCCCACTCTCTCTCCCACTCACTCACTCTCTCTTTCACGCTGGCTGCCTGCATGTGTCAATGCTTAGACAGCTGGCAACGCAAATATGGCAGCACGCGATACCAAAAACAGAATGAAAAACAAAAGAAATATGACAGCAGGTAAAGGTAAAAAAAAAACAGCAAAGTTTTACAATTTGTTGAAGGTCATGGTTTCTTAGCCATTCACTTGTTTCCGTTTCCTGCCTCGTGGCACGCCCCACCCGTCGGCCGCTTGACATTTCCGTTTAATTTGTCTTAATTGCAGTTAACTCGGCTCGTTGCGACATTTCGCAATTCGCCAGCGATTCGAGATTTCTTGGCAATGGCTTTAAAGCACGCCATCTGGCGGCCATTGCTGTCCCCACATATCGAACAAGAATTCAAAGAGCATTTCCATGCACAAACTTAATTAATTTATTTAGTTGCTGTTGTTGTGCTTTTCTCGCACTAATTAGCCGCAAAATAGCAGCTCAAGTGCGCATTTGAGTTTTTGGCTGTTTTTTTTCTGCCCATGGCCAGACGGGGGATCGGGGGCAAGGCGAATCCTTGGTTGCTGGCAAAGTTTAAAGTTGGTTTTGAACGAGTAAACAAAATTGCGCGGCTTAAGTTTGACGTAATTAAATTTACGTGCACGCAATTGAATTGGGCCCATGTTAATTTGTTGTTTTTTTTTTTTTTCGGGCACAAAACTCGCAAATTGAGTTAGTTGATTAAGTGGATTAGCGGCTGATTCATGAGCTGCCGGAAATAGCAGCAAAAGTTGTTATTGTTACCCGATTGATTGAGCGTAATATTTGACGAACTCTGATGTGCGAATCGGAGAACAAAAGAAATGAGCTCAACTTGAATTACATACATATCTCCTTTCCCAGAATTTCTCTAATTTTTGCGGTAATTGCAATTATGGAATGCATTAATTGTTGCTTAAACTTTGCTAATTGGGGTTAGGGTAAAAGAGAGAGAGAGAATGAGGGAGAGAGAAAAAACCACTAGCTGATTAGCCTAATTAGCATGTTCTTCGCTGCGGAAATACTGACAGCAAAAACTCAAACGAAATAGACGCAGAGCGAGGCTGAGAGGCAGCTAAATGGGTAAATAGGTAAGGTAAGCAAATTTATGTGTAATATAAGCCAGGTCAACACACACACACACACACACACACATGTGGGACGTGAGAGGACAAGGTCTGACTCGACTCACCCATACACACACACACTCACACACACATTCAGACACTGCCACCTGCAACACATTCGAGTCCATTTGGTTTGGCATCGGCGCATGTTTTGTGGGGCGGACACGTAATTTACAGCGACAGCGATAAAATGAGCTGCCAAAACTGCCAAAGATGGTCACATTTACAATATGGTCACACTGTGCGACGGCCATAACTATGCAGCATATTGTGTGTACGCCTCTGTGTGTGTGTGTGTGTGTGTGTGTGTGTGTGTGTGAATGACGCTGCCAAACGATGTTGTCATGGCCAAATTTCAATGCGGTCTCTGTGGGTGTCAGGGCCATAAATTCTGGCTGCTGCTGCTGCAGAGTGGTTCCACTCTCTCTCTCCCTGTCTCTCTCTCCCTCTCTCTCTCTCTCTCTCGTCTCTTTCGCCCATTGTTGCTGCTCATTTGGGCCATGTGTCAAGATTTTGATGTCTCGGGTCTTTGAATGTAGTTTTTTTTTGTTTTTTTCCTTGTCTTTCAATTTGCACATGATGAGATAATCCAATGTTGTTATCTAGATGAGCTGTCGCTTTTTTTTTTCAAGCTAGAGCGTGCACTAATGACAGCTGTTTAAGGCGAAAGCTAGATCAAACTGGGACAAAGATTAATTGAAGTTAATATAAAATGGAATAGAATTTAGGAATGAGTGATGTGAGCTCTTAGAAAAAATGTTTCAAGGACACTCGGGTATTTGATTTAAAGCCCCATAAAGCTCAACTAAAGGCTAATAGAGTAGAGTATTTGAAGTTGTATTGAAAGCACTACAAGTTTAATCGAAGTCCCAAAAGTTAGGATAATTATTAAGCTTTACGCTACTTGACTTTAAAAATTAAACCTGAACGGAAAGCGGCCTAATAAAATTAAACTGTGCTGCTAGATCAATCTTGAAAAGTTTCCAATTATAATTATTAAAAAATCTCCTTTTTATTTAAAAAAAAAAATGCTTATTTCAACTGGGGTTACAGATTCTAAGCTTTTAGTTACTTAAACTGCTAAAGTGCTACACTCCCTTACTAAATTAATCCTGAAAGTATCAATCGAAAGCTGTCTTGAGGTCTTTTAAAGAGGTGAGCATGGTTAGTGATCCCTAAAGCTCATTTAAAAGCAGCCAAGCGTTGCGAGCACTTTTAATAATTAATGAAGTATTCAAAAGCCCTTTAAGCTAAAAGCTTCAGTAAAATAGTTTCTATAAAGCTCCGTCCCCTGAGCAGTGAAAGCTGCTTACAGTTGATCCAAGCAAACTTTCAGCTTATTGCAAAGCTCACGTCATGCTGCCAATATGAATCATATATATATGTGTATTCACATATATGTGTATGTGTATATATGTGCATATTCATATGCATTTCTCATGCTGTCAGCAGCCGTGTAAACGTCCATTTGTGACAAGGCGTTGAGCAGTGGCCGAGTCTTTGGATATTCAGAGATTTTTAATTAAAAAGCACAGCATGCACAGCAAAATTGTGTGGGTCAGGCAGGGGCAGAAGCTGAAAAGGCAGAAAAAGAAGAAGAAGAAGACGATGGCATGGCAGCCGCCCCATGGTCGGTCTATATGCAAATGAGCAGCGTCCTGCGAATGTTTGTTTTTTCTTGTAAATTAATTTTTGCACTTAGCGTGTAGACTGCAATTACTATAGAGCGAGAGAGGGAGAGAGAGAGAGTAAGGGAAAGAGAGAGAGAGAGAGAGAGACAGAGAGAGAGCGAGCGAGCTGAACAACTGGGAATTAAGTTACTATCAACAAAGTACAGGACGAGGACAGGAGTGCGTGGGCGTGGCTGGCTGACAGCTGTTGTTTGCTGTTAATGTTGTTATTGTTGTTGTTGATGTAGGTTATTATTATTATTACCATTATTATTATGCCGTGCCGTGGCACAGTAATTACCGCTAATTGACATTTGCAAGGCATAAAGCTTGTTATTCGCCAGCTAAAATAGCGATATATTTATATATGTAGATAAATGAAGAGATCCTTGAGAATACGTAGAGAGACAGAGTGCTTGCACAGCGAA